CAGGTGTTGGATGGAACCAATACATCTGGAAGTAGAGAGAGAATGAGGTCATAACAGAAAGGAGAAAAAGACATGCAGCACAATATTTGAGACCCTTGACTTGCTCCTAGCATTGTCTCAAGGTCCTTACGGTTAGACCAGGGCACAGTAGTTCCAGATGTTCACAGTGATCTCTCCCTGTCCACAGACAACATCTTTCTGTGTGGAATATACCAATATTTATAAAGCAAAAATATTTCACAGGGCCTCCAAAGCCCTGCAGTTTCAGGTTTAGCCTAACATTTTGAAATTACATATAGAAATGTTGACCTTGCAAAAGACAGGAAACTTTCCTCAGGCTAGGGTCTCTGACACAGATGGAGAGTTGTGGCACAGCAAAGTTGCTGGCTCAAGGACAGACAAGTTACTGATTGATATGTAAAGATACTGGGAAATAGCTGTAGGGAAAGAAGATGTTTGCTGAGATCAAGCTTTTGTTGGTGGATTGACTTAACTTTTTGCTAACTGCATTATGGAATGCCACTTTGCTTGTTTTACTGATGTTACCAGGCTCTATTGTTAAACTTGTTAAACTATACTTAGCTAAAAACCCCACCTATGTTCTTTTCCTGTAACTTCCTGGTCTGGAGAATAAATGTGGGGTGAGAACCCCAATTTGTGGTTAATTTCCCAAAGGAAGGAATGCCTCACTGTTGAGGGTTCTGGGAAATTAACCCCTTTGGGGTCTCTCACTGCTTGGAAGAGATGGGCTTTGAGTGATCCTTTTGTGGCTCTGTCACCCAGGGGAGGAGAGGTGACAAATCCATGGGAGGCAAAGTGACATTTCTGTCAAGTGTGGGCTCAGGATGGTCACTCACCTCAGCCTTCCAGACACCATGATGGCCACTCGGTCACACACAGCCTCGGCCTCGGCCATGTAGTGGGTGGTCAGGAGGGCACCCCTCTCCGTGTTTCTAAAGGTGGCCCGGATTGCCTGCCTGTATTGTGAAGAGATTATTGTCCATTTACAAAATCCTCAAATTAATCAGAAATGGATAGAGAAAAGAATTTTTGACTGGCATGAATGTGAATAATTAGCAAAAGGAAATTAAGCAAGGAGGACTCTTAAAAGGGTGGTTAGGATGAGGAAGAGCAATGAGGTGAGCTGCTAAACTGGAAGCAAGCTCTGGAAGAGGGGAGTGTACAGAATCCAGTGTCTATTACAGGTTGTATTGAAAGAAAAAGCTGAGCAAAAGAAGATCATTTATGAGAAGGCTGTGCAAAGGGGAACAGAATGACACAAAACTCAACAACAGCATTGTCCTAACCTAGTGTGAAGAAAATAAATGCACAGCAAACACACAAAGGTAACAACTTTTACAACTTAACAAGAGCTGCTGTTCTCATGCTAAGTACTGGACACTGTGATCGTGGTACAGAAATGCTCCATACTAACCTGAAAGATGAGCTGAGCAACCCTGATACTCAGAGTGAGTGGCAACAGGCCCTGACAATGCTATTCTTCCTTCAGTGAGAAATGGTATGAAATATCATCAGTGAAAGATTTGTGTGTGTGTGTGCGTGTGTGCGTGGGCATGCGTGTGTGTGTGTGTGCAAAGCATGGGTTTTACTAATGGGATCGATAATTTCTTTTTCTCCCCACATTAAGAAACAGATTAAGGGACAACTTATACAGGGGGAAATGGTTTGCAAAGTCCTCTCAAGACCGTGGTCACGCTCCTCACCACATCTGCTGCTGCCCCTCGGGGTCCATCCCGGTCGACGGTTCATCCAGAAGAACCACCGACGGGCTCCCCAGGATGCTCAGCACGAAGCACAGCTGGAAGAAGAGGAACAGACGGTCCAGCACCCATCTGTGGGGTGCACCGAGGAGCACTGAGCCCTGCCCCTACCTTTCTCTTTAGTCCCTCTGCCAGTGTCTTCACAGGAGCCTTCAGCTGCTCCTGCAGCTTGAGCGCATCCACTAACCTGAGGAAAAC